TGAATGAGTCACTCATCCTGAAACTCAATGGAGGGATCTCTTCACTTTTTCTCTTCTCAAGCTCATCCCACTTCCCACTCCTCTTTATTGTGTCACAAAAGCCATGTACTTCTTGCATGACCGATAACCGGACCACATTTATTATGCCATCTTCGAAGCAATAGTATGCAATCCACAAGCTAGCAACCTCCAACAAGCGTGTAATAAATAAACAATGCTTTATTTCATCTAGCTATCTTGCTACTGTACATTGCCACCACTATCGTCGTAGTCGTCCTCCGCCATCATTCCTACTCGTACTCGTCACCAGTCGTCAATCCCATCCGTCACACCAACATCCAAAAATACACAAGTTGAAAAGAATGGGATCTTGCAGGCTTCCTTTTGAATCTCGTTGTCGTCATCATTGTCATTGTTGTGAATGTGGTAATCATCGTAATCGCCGTCTCTACAAATAAGAAAGCAGGCAAGTTAGACCATCTGATACTGGGAATGAATGATGACGATTTGGTATACCGTTAGGCGATCCTCTCCAAGGAAGATAGCAAATCAGAAGGAATTCACAAACCAAATCACCACCATACGAGCAACGTCGGGCGATCCCTTGTTCTTGAGAAAGCACTGCACGAATCACACAAGGCCAGTTCGGTCCATGGCAAGGAAGGACATCACTTACGTAGAGTCCAGGCTCATAGTTGTTCTCATACATCCTCTCCAAAGAAAGAATGAACCCCAATCCTTCCAATCATTTTCCCACCTCATGAAAAGAAATCCTCAAGGGAAAGAACGAGCCTATCACGAGAAGAGCGTGTTGGTTCAACACATATACGACCGAGCCATTGCAAATCCCCTTTTACCTCAACACGGTGACCATGCTCTTCTATAAATCCATCGTCATCGACCCATCAACTCAAACGCAGGCCTATAGAGTCCGGGGCGCGTTCCAAGAAGCTTTTCCAGCACACTTGGCTAGTGCAGAGCGACGCAGCAGCAACTTGATACAGGCTGGGATTTGAACCCAAAGAGATGATGATGATGCCCCAAAGTTGCGTTGCCTGATCAAAGAAATCTATTCAATTCATTATTAGCACACACATACAATAAAACGCCTCTTTTCATTGTTTGTTTCATTGCACTTGCCTTTTCCATAGACATAAAGATCCTTAGCTGCTGGTTGTTAGAGACCGAAAACCATGGTGTAGTGTTGTTGAGCCGAAACAGAACGCCAAACCAGTCAACGTCTTGGAACCAAACTTGCTCTTTACACAAGCTGACGCGTCAATGGAACCAATTCGGCTGCAACATTGGACTCTGAATGTACCTGTTGGCACCAAGCGTAGAGCGGGAATAGCAACGAGCAAAAGGAAGCAACAATATCGCCATGGCAACCACCAACCAACCACCAACCACGCTCATTCCTCAGCACTTGGACACACTCACTCTCCCTGACAATGCATGTTCAGAACTACATTAACACCTCACAGCCAACAAGAGTACTTTTTTGTAATACATTACCTTGATCGCAATGTCGTGAATGGAATAAGGAAAGGTGGGAGAAAAAGAAGAGAAAGCGTTGTCTCGAGTCGTGGAGCTGCTGTCCCCCAAGTTTAAATCCCCTACTGCTATTACACTGAGGCCACTCAATGACCCCACATACACCATCCACCCATCATGATCATCACCCTCACGATAGACAACAGGTACACGTAAATAAAAGAAATGATCCTCACGTATAGCAAAAGGGTGTGTGCCATTTTACACTTTACATGATAATGATGGTCCAACAACAGCCATTACCTTACTACCAGGTTAGCTCGAATCATGAAAGTTAAATGATGGGAATGATGGGCTGGAGCAGCACAAGCGTTCGTATGCATTGGATTGGGCAACAAAGGTGAATGGAAGGAATGGGTTATTAGCTGGTATTGTATGAACTATTCCTAAATAGTGTACAAGAATCATGCATCGCCTGTGCTGACTGACTCAAAGTTACACAAACACGCCCCTCTGCATCTTGGCTATAGTCATACTACTTGACAATGAACAACGACCTCTTTTCATATAGCATCACGCTTACAGGATATGTAAAAAATGAAGGTGTCTGTATCTCTAAACTTTACAATCAAACGTGGGGTCTCTAATAGAACAGTGTTGCTCGCCGGGGTCAAAGGAATCTTGTGTGCAAGTTTCACGATCAAGGTGGCGGATCCCAGATTACTCAATGTCGCTGCCAGCCAAAAAATAGTTTTTGCTCGCGGGGAAAGGCTTTCATTTTGGGGCAATGGGGGAATTGTTACCCTGCAAGAAGCAGTGCCATCGACGAGAGATCTCCTGTACTGTTGTCTTGCTTTTCTTGATCAACATCAGCGTCATCATTATCGTCCGCCTCGTCTCCAAATTGACGTGTCATTGAGCGTAGCTTCTTCGTTGGTAGGGTTGAACTTGAAGCTACATATCATATTCATGGATGCACACCAATGTCGCACTCGCATAGGCAATGGCCGCCAGCCTTCTTTGCAGTTCAGTGTCTTGGTAATTGCTTGATGATATTGCTTATTAAATCGGTGGAGGCACACGATTCAGCTTGGTTGGGTGACATAAAGAAGATATGGCTGAGAGACAACACACGAATGTCACGAATATTCTCCTGTCGAGCAAGGTATATAGTGCGTTTGCGGAATTTCATGAGCAATTCAAGGTATCATCCACTTGTCCGCCACCTCTTGCATAGTTTGAAGCTGGTCTTTGAATTGCTCCTTTACCATGTCCAATGCAACAGCCAATGTCTTGAATCAATGATTAATGGCAAAGACAGATTTTTGAAGGACGTTTAGATTGATTGTTATATAAAACGCCACGAATAAAAATAAGCTTACTTAAGTGCTTGCAATGATGAAAGGGTGGCATCCTTATCGTTGGAGAGAATGCTCGCTGAAAGGCGTTTCAATACATCAGCTTCGGTTTGGATTTCTTGCTCTTGAGTCATATGAAATGACCAAGTATTTAATGCTGCCACTTTCTTTGTACACTATTGTATCAGAAAGCATTGGGTTACCAAGGGTTAGAAGCAGTCAAGCTATTGACAAGGATACATGGTATGTAACATTACCAAATGATAGGCCCATCGAAGCAAAAGAGAGTAGTCAAGGGAAGCACCATGTGTATACTGTTGTTGGCTCGATATTATCACCACAGTGGTCCCCCGATATTTTCGCCACCTCAGTATTTTCCACGTCAATCGCTTCCCGGTAATTTTCTCCACTTCGCATTTTTCCCCACTTTCGGATATGCACATGCTGTTGACTGGAGATCCTTTGTATCTCATTGATGACACCATCCTGCTTGATGAGTCAGCTCACTACATGGTATACCACTAATACTAGTACTTTATACCTCTTCAAAAGAATCATCAACGCCATCATCGCGTGGCTTTTTGCTTCCTGATGATTCGCCAGAATGCATAGTCATTTTACGCTTGGAGCTAAACGCATGTCAGCAACCAGGATAGATACATTTGCTATACCTACGTACCTTGCTTCCTGAGCATAGGTGGTATTTTGTGCTGAGCAAATCTTAGTATGCATAGGAGCATTAACGTGGATGGCGGTGGAAGTTGGGTCCATCAGGGAATAGGGGCTAATGCCACAAAGAGCAAATGATAGTATAATACATCATGAATGATACGCAACATTTACATACCAAGACTCTCCTTGTCACTTACCAAAAGGAATGGGTGGACTATGCAAATGAAATAAAGGCGATAGACGAAGAAGATGTGTAAGAACGTTGGTGACAACAGGCGTTGTTTTTATATGTATGTGTGGGCGTGTGAATGTTGTCCGCACTAAGGAAAGGAGGTTGTGATTGATTGCGAATGATGAAATGATAGATGATAATTGTTTAAATGGCAACATCAATGGAAGGGTCTATAATGTAATAAGAATCTCTGATGGCTGTAAAAAGATACGTATGCATATTGATCCTGAAACTCAATGGAGGGATCTCTTCACTTTTTCTCTTCCCAAGCTCATCACACTTCCCACTCCTCCTTATTGTATCGCAAAAGCCATGTACTTCTTAACCGGACCACCTTTATTATTCCATCTTCGAAGCAATAGTATGTAATCCACAAGCTAGCAACCTCCAACAAGCGTGTAATAAATGAACAATGCTTTATTTCATCTAGCTGCATTGCCGCCATCCTCGTAGTCGTCCTCCGTCATCATTCCTACTCGTACTCGTCACCAGCCGTCAATCTCATCCGTCACACCAAACATCCAAAAATACACAAGTTGAAAAGAATGGGATCTTGCAGGCTTCCTATTATCAGTGTCCATGGACATCTTGGGCTTGGAGCTAAAATACAAGTCAGTGACATAAACATGATCCTTCGATGTAGATAGGTACCTTGACTTCTGGATGTATGTAACACTTTGCGTTGTTGCCATAGGGGCATGGACAGGAGCATTGATGTGGGGATGGTGGTGCTATTGGACGTGCCATTGTCACATGTAGCAGACGCAGTAGGCTTCTTCATCTCCTACGATATACAGTCAATTATCTTCTCTCACTCATGGGCATATCACATACGTACCTTGGTCTCCTTCTTCAAGTCACCAATATACGTCTTCAGATCACGAGGCAAATCTTGTTGCTGCAACCAAGCGAGATCGTTATGAAAGTCATGCTTGACAGCAGCTGGTGTTGAATGCGAGTGTTCGGCATAATTTGAATTTGACCATTGGTCGACTGGTTCACGCGTAAAGTATTGCCTGCGTTCAGTATTGGGCTTGAAGTCGCTGATTATACACCCTACGTAATGGAGGGACACTTGACCATGTTGAAAGAGGAGAGTAGGAGAGCAACACACGCGTGTTCCGAGTGCGCAGTTCCCCGATTTTATCCATGGAACACAGCTGCCAATGTGAGGGAAAGATGAAAAGTACTTGAAAAGAGAGTTAAACAGTATGTGAAATTGTCAAGAGGGAAGCATTTGGGAGTTAATGCGGGGTGTACAAATGGTAAATGTTTACACACAGCTCGTACGCGTTTTGATCAGACAGCAAATATCATAACAATGATGCAGTGATTAGGATTGTGGGGCATAACAAAAAATGATGTGGGATATTCTATTACAACAAAAACTGTACAAACTTGTCAATTACTTTCTAAGATCAGCTACACGGATAGCAACGGCATTTCGGTGGGCTTCAAGGCCTTCAATCTCAGCGAGACGCATAACGGTATCACCAAGACGGTTCAAACCATCGGCAGTCAATTGTTGAGAAGTGATATGCTTGACAAAGGTGAGCGTGTTGACACCAGAGTACATGCGTGAGTAGCCATAAGTAGGGAGAGTGTGGTTGGTACCGGAAGCATAATCACCACAGCTAAAAATACAATCACACCATCAATAAAGACATTCATTATACCCATGATCCTTTCTCTTTTTTTACCTTTCAGGAGAGTAAGCACCAACAAAGACACTACCAGCATTGTTGATACCAGGAAGAAGGGATTCGGCATTGTCGACGTGAAGGATGAGATGTTCGGGTGCATAATCATTGGAAAAGGCGACGGCTTCATCGAGGTTCTTGACCTTGAGAGTGTATGACTTTGGAATACTCTTACGCACAATGTCGACACGTGGTAAGCGGCTTGCTTGAGTATGGATTTGATCTTCAATGGCACCAAGTTCACTATCAGAGAGATCGACAGCAACGAGGACAACTTGCGAATCCACGCCGTGTTCAGCTTGAGACAACAAATCGGAAGCAACATAAGCAGGGTTGCAATTCTTGTCGGCAATGACCAATACTTCGGAAGGACCAGCTGGCATGTCGATGGACACCAAGCACGACGTATCATTTTGTGCGACCATCTTGGCAGCTGTCACGTATTGATTACCAGGACCACAAATCTTGTCAACCTTGGGCACCGTTTGTGTACCATATGCCATAGCTGCCACAGCTTGTGCACCACCAGCCAACACCACGTGTGTAGCACCGACCTTGTGAGCCACATACAATACCTCAGGCACCACTGTACCATCAGGTCGTGGAGGAGTAGCAATGACAATTTGAGAGCAACCAGCCACCTTGGCGGGAATACCAAGCATCAATGTAGTCGATGGCAACACTGCAGTGCCTCCTGGGACATATAAACCAACACGTTCAATGGGACGAGCAAATCGTGTGCATACAACACCAGGCATAGTTTCCACAACAAGAGTATCACGATCCATTTGAGCATCATGGAACTTGTAAATGTTGTCATAGGCTTGATCAATGGCTGCCTTAGTCTCGGGATCAAGTTGCATAGCTGCAGGATCGAAGGGTGCTTGGAGGGTTGGGCATTCAAGCTTGACGCGATCAAACTTTTCAGTCAAGTCAATCAAAGCTGGATCGCCACGTGTGCGTACATCCTTCATGATGGGAGTAACACGGCCAATAATCTCTGTCGAATCAATGATAGGTCGCAACAAGAGCTCATTACGCTTCTCAGAAGAAATGGCATCGGCGGAGTAAGTTTGCATAGCAATACGGCCATTGTTGTCCTCTTGTTCTGCTTCTTTGGGTGCTGATGCTGGTGCTGATGCTTCCTTGTTCTCCCATTTTGGCTTAGCGTTGCCAGGACGACGAGTCACCTTACGAGCCTTCTTATCCAAATTCTTCTCCACATCGCAAAGGGATACACCAGCGCTGACGCACTTGGTCAATGCAAAGTAAATCAAATCGGCAGCTTCCCATGCAACATCCTCCTTTTCAGTGGCATCACACAATTCCTCAGCTTCCTCCATAATCTTGGCACGCAATAACTTGGGATCGTTGAATAAGCGAGCTGTGTATGAACCAGCAGGTGCATTCTCCTTGCGACTTTGCAGTGTGCTTTGTAAAGCACTCAATCCAGCATCGGCACCAAAGCATGTACGTGTGTTGAGATGGCAGAAACCTATTAATGAATGATAAGTCATATGATCCTTATACATCGAGTTATCCAATAAAACGTACCAGCGCCATGTTGCTTGACAATGAAACGTAAAGCATCACCATCACAATCATAATCAACACCGAGCAATGTTTGAGTAGCACCGGATGTGGCACCCTTGTACCAGAGACCATGCTTACGGCTTTGATAAACACCTTGACCCGTACGCAATGATTCGGACACGCTTTGTGCAGAAGAGAAGACCAAACCCAAAGCCGAGTTACGTTCATCGACGACCATTGTAGCATAAAGACCATCAGGACGATCGGTGGTGGCGGTTGCCAAAAAGGCTTGTGCGAGATTAAGCTTTCCATCCTTGGGTTCCCATTCGGTAGTCAGCTGAGTAGAAGGCACCACCACATCCAATTTGACAGCATCCAATTGTTGCAACATGTCGCTTGTCAATACGGCACCTTGGCTTTGCACCACCACTCGACGTTCACCGCCTTGTGACAACAAATCCTTGCGTGTAGCAGTAGCCAATGCATGAAGCTGTTCACTCTTGAGAGCATCGGCAACAGTGTCAACCTGAACAATCACCACCGATGGTTTGACAGATACTGAAGAGAGCTTGGGAATGCTGGCAATATCGACAACAACTGCAATGCGTTCCTCGGGAATACCAGCCAAGTCACTTTGGGATTCAAGCAACACATTCAAAGGAAAGACGGCCTTGTAAACACCAGCGTCCCAAAGATTGACGGCCTCGTCGACAGTGTTGGCATGAGCCCAATACAAAGTGGAGCCCGTTTCTTCAATGAGGGATTTGACGGCATCAAGAGTTGCGTTTTCAACAAGAACAGAGCCAAAGAAGCTAAGCTCCTTCTTGAGAGAGAGATCAGCCGTATTCAAAGCTGGTATGAACATGGTGGTGGGGTGGGTTGGAAGGAGGTGGAGTTGAAAGTGTAGCGGAAGGACGATAAGATAGCCAACAAGCCTACATATTTTCGGTGACTCGCATATAGAACCGATGATTCATCATGACGCTTTTATATATGTTCTTCACTTTCTTCTTTTCATTGCACCCTTTTTACCATCACAATCCATCAAATTATATCGTTTCCTGATACACTAGGGTTATAGCTAGATCCATTTTCATATTAAACAGCTTATTGATCGTCATCTATCATAATTCACTCGATGCAATACGTGTACAAAGAACAATGTGGTGGGAGAGATGATGAAAGCAACAATCAATAACATCAAAGGGGATGTTGTTGCTAATCATGGATGAGCACAGATACTCATACAAAGAGCGTAATGGATTCATTCATTATCATGAACATAAAAATAGAAAAAGAGCAGCAAAGACTGGGAAAAAGCTGATCATCCCTTGTTATGGTGTGGGGGTAGGGGCACGGATCGCCTTACTATCCAAGTGCATGTCGGGGGAATTACCGAGATATCGGACTATACATAGCATTCGCTAACGACGACGACAACGGCTACGACGCATGTGGAGGCACAGCCATGACGTTGCCCTTAAAGTAGATCCATCCACCCTTTTCATGATCATCATGATGCATACGTATTCACCACAATCTTTTGAAGCCTAACACAACACAACTATTTCATCCGTAGCTATGGATACACCATCACCACGGCAACAACGATGATGTATTATGGCCCTTTTTCTCCTTACTGCACGAGGGAAATAAGGTTTTCTTTCTCCCAGGAACTAAATGGAGTAGACAACAACACGTGCCCGCCACCCTGCAAGGCGATCGATCATTGTAGCACCAAATGATAAAACACCCGCGCTTCTTTACTTGCCTTTGCTGTGCAATATAGGAGAAAATACAAAATCATGTACCCCAACGGTTATCAATTATTGGATGCATTTAACAAAGTGATTGGCTAAAAGTCTACGGAATAATAATACCGATTCATTCTATTAGTGATCTGCGATCAATACAACAACATGGACGAAAAAGGGGAGCTTTCTTTTACGTTGTGGCGGCAACCTCGAATGCTAATCTACTGAATACTAGTACGTAGTGTGCTAGCTTACTATTTTACAACGTCAATATGGCTGAGTACATTGTATGGTTGTGGGAGCAGCAGAGTAGTAGATACCATTGGGGTACAAGATAGGACTCCATTGGATAGCTTTTGTCGGTAATCGATTTCAACAAGCAATACCACAGTTTGGACCCGCCACCCACTCTTCCCAGCTTGGGGGGTAGAAGAAAGAAAAAAGAAAATGAGCTTATTACTGCACACACACATACACGCATACAAAGAACACCTCTTTACAGCTCCGGGTGGCACAAGTGCTACAACTCCGGTGGAGCAACAACGACACCACCACACATTTTTAAAAACCCTGTCTTTGATACTAGCCATTCCTGTCATTATCCACCATTTTCCATTCACCTACTCCTTTCTCCTTTATTTTACCTATTTTCTTCCTCTCTTCTTCTTCTCACAACCCTTTTTTGATATCCCTTCCCTTTCACTTATGCGCGTATGGCGACCTAACAGCACTACGTGGACGCCGACATGCTTGATTTTCTTGACGACACTGGCATGGATCGTGCACGCTTTACCCAACGACAACAATAACAATTCATCCAACACGCCAATCTACAAGATTGGTGTCATGTTCCCAGACCCCGCATCTGTGCGTGCAACTGATCCCACGCTAAACGATATGATTGTCGCCAGCCGAGCAGCCATTGATTTAGCATCGCAATCTGCCGCCAAAATTGCACCAGGTACATACATACATACATTGCAGAGTAGATAAACAGCCCCCATACCATCATCAGTGCTATGTACAACACCCATCTTCTTACACGACATGCACCTATATACACATTACAGACGTCACGTTCGAATTCCAACATGTGGCATCCGACAGCAAAAATTTAGGTGCAACGGCATGGACCACTGTCGACATGGTGGAATCTGGGATAAAGTATGAAAATTGCAACCACATGATCCCACCTTTATAGAGCAGCCACAAATTAATGCTATGTATTGTGTTAGTGCATTGATTGGTGATATGGTATCTTCAATGACACAAATGGAGGCAGGCATCACTGGTGTACGCCAAATCCCGCAATGCTCGTGTGCCTCTGCATCACTCAAGCTATCCAACAAGGATGCCTATCCCTATTTCTTTCGCACAGTAGGCAATGTTGTACTATTTGGCAGCACCCTAGTGGATTGGGTACGCTATATGGGATGGCAAAAGTTTGCACTCATTTACACCAATGATGATGTGGGCCAACAAGGTATGTAGTATATGTTGTTGATGATGTTCCCCTATATTCATTCTTCTAATTAAATGCCATCGCATCCTGTACAACGTAGTACTATCCGCCATGGTCCAAAAGGCATCGTCATATAACCTTGATGCCATGACACAAATCCCATTGTATGACATGAGCCGTGTAGAAGGTAAGAGGACATTGGGAAATAGTAAATTTAGTCGAAATGCGCCTAATCGGTATTTTACAGAATCATTGGAAACTCTGGCCAAGTCTGGATCAAGAATTGTTATTCTCGCCGACTCCACTACATCCGATCAATTGATGGTGTTACGCACAGCCATGTATGTTTAAAGAGAGAAAAAGAGAGTGTGTGTGTGTGGCCGTGTGCGTGGGTGTGTGCGTTATAGGGATGCGTGTGCGTGAGTATTGTGTGTGGAACAATGGGCTCATGTACGTGCACTCGTGTATATTGCGTTATAGGTCAATGGGTTTGTTGTCCGAAGGATGGGTTTGGATGTTGACAAACGACATGTCACCTGCCATTCGTGACACCGTGAAATCCCAAGAAGAGCTGGCTGCTTACGATGGGCTCATGTTTATTAGCGGTATATGGAACCGTAAGTGTCACACAAGTCCCTTTAAAAGTTTCATCAATACCCCCATCTCATATACTACCTTACTATCCTTGATGTAGTGAGCGGTATTCCTGCTTATGATGCCATGCAAGAGTCTTGGAATACCTTACCTGCACCATCCAACTTGTAAGTGAATGTGTGATTGGGATTGTGAAAATGATCAAGTCAAGCTGATTCATTGTTGGCATTTCAATTGTAGCACTGATCCATCCTCATGGCACAGCTCAGGGCTTTCCTATAATGCACCCCAATGTTATGCATGCGCGGAATTAATGGCGCTTGGATTAGACAAGGCAAGTGTGGATATTCAAAATGCTATCTACTACACCCCCAACTGCACGTCATGCACGCATGTAAATGCGTAACGGAGATTCATCAAAGCTAAATTCTGAAACATTGGCATATGATTTTATATCATTAGGCTCTTAACGAGTATCCTGGTGGTCGGCAAAAGGGATTGGCAGACTTGGCAGCTGGTAGCTTCAATTCGAGCAACATGACGCCGACTTTTTACAATCTCAACTATACCGGGCCCGCAGGTACATTATTATTGTCATTCCCCATCTTGATTTCTTTGTTACGCAAATCACTAAAAATAACCCATGGTGGTATCATCTTAGGTGTGATGGACTTTGCAGATACAGGTAAATGAATGGCAATGAGCAATACAATCGTCAAGGTGTGCTGATTCATCATTCTTCTTTGTTCTTGCCTCATTCTTTAACACATTTGCAGGCGATCTCCAAACTGGGTAAGATCAACAACAAAACCGAGGGCGTGGATCAGGGGTATAAAAGTGCTTGTTTATGATTCAAACTCACATGTGCAACGTAATCTGTCGATCAAAAAAGCTACTTTGCATTACAGTACATGGTGGATGGCTCGGTGGTCACCTATGCAACATTGAAGAATGGCACCTTTGAATTCGAAGATAACTCTGTTCTCTACCTTGGCCATACCAATGTTCGTCCTCGGGATAGTGTCCAGCGATATCGTACGTTCAAAATGGCTTGCGTCATGTCCTACGCCTTCTTACATGGCTCCCTTTATAGCTCTCAATCTCACTTTGGAGGATGGTCATGGTATCGCGGTGGTAGTCATTTGCGCTACGGGCATGTTTTTCTGCTTATGTATGTTGGTCTTGATTCTAATGTATCGTCGGCTGAAATCCATCATGGTGTCAAGCCCAACATTTTGTTGCATCCAATTACTTGGTATCTTGATGGGATACTTGGGGTGCCTTATGTATGTTGGAAAGCCCAATCCCGCTATATGTATTGCTCGGCAGTTTATCATCACCACGGGATTCATTTTGGTGGTTGGAAGTCTCATTGCTAAAAGCTACAGGTACGTAGATTTACCTCACATGATGATGCAATGACGAATGCTAATGTCAACCTCTCTTTTAGAATCTACCAAATGTAAAAGCATCCTATCCTATGCCTCGTCGTTTATGATTTGCTTACGTATGAATCTCTCTCTTCGCATCTTTAGTTTCCAAAACGTTTTCACGGTTCGGACATCAAGACTCAAATCGAAATACCTACTGCAGATCGTTGCTGTATGCGGATTTATCGCCTATGTACCTCTCATTGTATGGCAAGCAATGTATCCTGTCGAGGTGGAAGAGCTCACAGTGGGCAACTCTGTATCATTTTGTTGGGTTTGTGTATACCCTGGATCTCCTGGAGGATGGGTACAAGTCACTATAGCCGAGCTGGTTACCTTGGTATGGTGTGCCCTTTTGATTTTCATTGCAGCATTGCTGGCATACAAGGTACGGATCTAATTTTTGTATATCCAACACGTGCTTATACTCCATCGATAGACACGCAAGGTGCGTGGTAAATGGGCCGAGACAAACCAAATTGCCTATGTGAGCTAGTAAGTCATTGTAATAGTAGTAATAGTAGTAGTGTGACATGGCAAATGTGTGCATGGGATTTAATGATGGTATCATTGTTATATAGCAATCTTGGTTTGGCAGGATGTCTTGCAAGTCCAAGTTTCTTTTTGCCGGATGAAAACTACGTGATTGCTATCCATCTCAAGATGACGGCTGTTATTCTTGCATCAACTTGTGCACTGATCATCATCTTTGTGCCCAAGTTCGTTTCTATTGTGAGATACCTATACGGCAAGCACAAGAGCAAATTGTGGCGAGGTTACCGTGGCAACCGTAGTAACTCCGCAGGTTACTTTAATGATGGTGGATATGGAGGTGGCAGCTCAAGCCAAGAACACAACAACAGCGACAACATGGCAACACAAAACTTGCTCGACTTTAGTGTGCAAGCACACGAGGGAGTGTTACCTGTCAAAAAGATGGCACGATTCAATTACATGTCCATCTGGGAACTCAAGCACGTTGTTGTGGTGCCACTGAAACGATTCTTTATATTGATGAATGTAAGGGACAGTGTGATTGGATCATCCAAGGAGCTAATAATGGTATTAGAAACAAGGCCATCAAGCACGAGTCCATCATTATCTTGCATGTGAACCAGTTTCAGCATCCGAGGATCGATGTATATTTCGTGTGGTAACGGAAGACAATATGGCGTTTCTATTTCAAGTGCATGATCAAGTTGCTTTACATCGATGGCTTGAATGGTTTGTTGGACCTGTGGATCCCGACACAATGCAACAGGATTATGACAAAACAGGTGGTGGTGATGGATATCACACCACCGACGCCACGCATACCACCGCCACCGCACGGGCCGCACCACCCACAGCTTTATCCCTTCAACAAGAACCATTCACAAGCATGCACGATCAATTAGCCACATTTGGTGCAGCTGCTGCTAATGCGACATCAACAACTAATACAGCAATGTCACATCATCGTCGAAATTCATCAAGTCATTATGAGCCCACCGCATCTTTAATATCACCCCATGGGAACCATCCTAATGGCAGCAGTGACATGCTTCTTCGTCGCCATCACGACTATTCACGTGCCAGCAATGACGATGATCGAGATCTCAGTGAAATGTGGGCAAGGTCTAACCATCACTTTCCAATGTCACCCACATCATTTGATATGGCTGTTAATGATATCCATTCTTCATCCACTACTGCTTCTTCACGTCCTCGTTTCCCATCTTTCTTTTAGATACATAACGCTTTTGTTTTTCTTCTTGTACAGTCCTTACACAACCCCCTCCCTTTGTTCTAATTTTACTTGTACTCGCTCTCTCTCTCTCTTTCATTCTTTCTCTCTCTCTCGCTTTCTCACTTTCTTTTTTTTTACTTATGATAATGAATAAACCCACTCTGTAAATACCGCCCTCCTATTCCTACTACTCTTTCTTTTCTCTTTTTCCTTTCATGAAGACCCTGCATCGCATTCACTCATTTGCAGCAGCAACACGGGTGATTACAGTAGGCGTGGGCATTCTCTCGTACCTGGCGACAGGTAGCTACGACTCATCGGCAGAGATCCAACTTGCACCGTCATCATGGGCCGAACACTGCTTGGTTTCATTGCTACGATGGGACGCTTTGTACTTTAACCATATTGGACAACACGGCTACGTCTACGAACAAGAACACGCGTTCTTTCCAGGGATACCATTATTAGCAAGGATGCTAGCAAAAACAGGTATGAGCAAGGGTGTGTGTTGTTCCAAAGGTGATGTATTGATGGATCATGGATAGTCCTTTTACCTTTACCGATGCAAGAACAAGGACGTATTCTCTTAGGTGGTGTGTTGATTGCCAATGTGTGCTTTGTGTTAGCTGCTGGGATGCTGTATAGGTAAGCATGGGATCGCGTGTGGGGGTATTCATGCACTAAAGGGGGTCCTTTTCATTTATCATCGTTTTTCTATACAAGATTGACATCAGCTATTCAACCTCGTTTGGCGTTTGTATCAGCCATTGCATTTTGTCTTTCACCACCGGCCATGTTCATGTCATCGATGTACATGGAATCGCCCTTTGCATTACTCTCGTTCACTGGCATGTGGTTGTATACCCAAAACAAGTATTTATTGGCGGCCCTGATATGGTGTTTCGCATCTGCCATTCGATCCAATGCCATCGTGTATGCCGGGTTTTTCATCTACGACTTGGTGTTACAAAAGGTTAGATTCGGAAAGATTGTGTCGTGGGAGAAATACTGATGATGAGGAGTCTCTTTTTTGACAGCGGTCGTTGATTGGAATGATGCGGGCAATTCTCTATTCAATGATTACGATGGGTGGATTTGCCATGGTCCAATACTTTGGATACCATCAATTCTGTGCTACTGGTGATCGACCGTGGTGCAACAAGACGCTGCCTCTTCTTTACAGCTTTGTTCAAAAATATTACTGGTATGGTGGGATAGGAGGAAGAGCAATGAAAAAGTCGGTCAGTCATTTGACAATGGGTATATATAGGAACAATGGGTTCTTGGCCTATTATGAAATCAAGCAAATCCCCAACTTTTTATTAGCCATGCCCATCATCTCATTGACAATCAAAGGTTTATGGCATTATGCGCAATCAGTGAATGGATTCTACACGCTTGGACTGGGTCAAAATACGCCAGCGGATACCAAGAAGCTTTTACCGTTCCTTTACTTGTGGGGCTTTTTGTTGGCGTATGCAACGACATGCATGCACGTCCAAGTGATCATCCGGTTCTTTACATCCCTACCACCTTTATATTGGATTACGGCCCAAATTTGGATGGATGGTTTCAAAAAGTCAGCTTCCAACCAGCAACAATGGCTTGCTCAAGGTGTACTCTCGTATTATGTCCTTTATGGACTTGTTGGGATAGTTTTATTTGCTGCATTTCTTCCTCCAGCATAAAAATAGAGTGTCCTACAACATTGCAATTTCATGTGATCGTCATATTAAGGGGGGAAGGGGAGGGGAGGAAACGAGAAGGAGTTTATGTGATGATGATGTGCGCGTGTTGGTCTTTGACAGCTTCTCAGCCTGTCAAAAAATTATACTCTCCGAGTTGCTGTTTGATGCATACATGTTGTGTGTGGCTAAATGGAAACAAACAAAGAAACAAGGGATGTTGTCTGGACTTGTTTATGTGTGTGAGAGGGAATCGCGATACCCCAAGTTATCGTTTATTTTCCTGGGATTGCTTTGCTATACTCAATCTAGAGGTATGGTGGATAAGACATATTACAGACAAATGTGTGATGTGTGAGCGAAGAAAGTGTGATATACAAAATATAGATTGGGGGAGGGGGGAAGATGATACGGATAAGAAAAAGATAAAAAGAGAGAAATGATACTATGTACGAGAAAAGAAAAAGATAAGGTACGACGTGTTAATACACATTCATGTCAAATTGACACCACGGCGTGATGATCGCCACTTGTCATCATACGATAAATGGTCATCCTCATCCTCATCTTCTTCACCTTCTTCAAGCATGGGACGAAGAATACGCCGCCTCGCATTGATAAACCAATTGCTAATCTGGTTACGAGCCAGTCCTGTTTGTCGCACCAGTTGACATTTTTCGTCCTCGTTGGGATAAGGATGTTTCTTGTGCTCGGCTAACCAGTTTTTGAGGATGGCAGTGACAGGTTTTGGAAGGTTGCTACGTTGTCGTTTCTTAATGTTGCCTCCCGTTCCACCACCATTCGTAGATGATGATGATGATGTTGCCTTGGTTATTCGTCTATGATGATGATGGTGGTGGTGGTGGCTATGAATAGCAGGAGGAGGAGGAGGAGCATCCATACCATTCATACTGCTACGACGTGGACGATGCGGATAACGTGTTGTTGAAGAAGAAGAAAACGAAAAGGTAGCCGATGATGGTGATGATGATGACGGAGGAGAAGAAGATGTCGGGATTGCTGATGATGGATGTAGTGGTTGTTGTTGTTGTTGTAGCGGTGGAGGTGGTGGTGATGACGAAGACGATGATGTATTCCAAAGCGGAGGCGAAGGTGGATGTTGTGGTGGCGATGAAACAAGTGATGGGACAGGTGATAAAGGTTTATCGTATGAGTTGATGGTAGCTAAGATAAAAAAGCAAGGTTGGGGGAGTGTTAATGAAGGTGTGGTGGTGGTTGTGGTGCACAGACGCCTTTGCATTACTTACCTTTTGACGAAGACATCATCACGTCAGCCCAGAAGCGGCCATTGTCTTGTAACATTTGGTTGATACGTTTCTTGTGTGATTCAATCAGTGTCACGTAATGTGGGTCACGATAGGGTATGTGAATGTGCTCCAAATCTCCACTGTCCCTGATGAAACGATGATCATGGAAAAGAATCACAGGGCTGAATCGACGACAGTGCTATATCGATATAAAAGAAAAAGAAACGTCAAATATGAGTTATTTGACATGTGGCATAATTCATCATGGCTGAGTCAACCAACACCCACGAAAACACCCACACACCCACATAGTGTAATATACCCAAAGTCCAAAAGTTCCCTTTTCTCCCTCTCCCCCAACAGCCCATTCTGTTTCCCATTTGCTTACCTTGTTATCTGGCGATGGCACAATGCAGTTTGACATTACAAGAAGAGTGCCGAGAGAAAGCGTGTAAATAGAAAGAGAGGGGTGATAGTGGTATACGAGTGAACAAGAGTGTTTATAATAAAAAGAGGAACGTAGGCTTGACGTCAAAGAGAAATGTGGGATTCGGCTGTGAGAAAATAGGACAAGAGGGAAAGATGTGAGTGAATCAAAAACGACGACATGGGAAGCGGGGTAACAAAGTAGGCCAGCCACGCTTGTGCAACAGGCGTCCATAACGTTTGCGGTGCCAATATTTACTGCGCGCACTATCCATCCCAAAACCATCATCAGTATCATCATCTGCCACATGTGGTTTGTGTGGCCATGTGGTCTTCTTCTTCTTGGTCGCTTCCGATCATTTGAACTAAATCTTTCGATTATCATCACTCTCTCTCTCTTTTATCTTGCATTTATACCATCGTTACGCTTTAACGCAGGGTGTCGACAACGACAACTGCTTGCTTGACAGCTTGTTTATAAGCGACATGTTACACGAACCATCATTCCCAACAGTGTGTTGCGTGAATCAAAAAATATCATCCGTATAGGAGATAAAAAAAAACCATCCTTGAGATTCTCATCATTATTCTTGACGTGTGTGCTCTTTGTTGCTAAACTACCTTTGTCACAACATCATTCATTCATCATCCACAATCTATGAAACACAATCATCATCCTTCTTCCCCTACGTCGGTTTCGTAACATTACTATTACTACTGCTGCTGTTGCCAACATCATGCATTGATCTATTTGGTCTCGAAACACTATCCACACAAAGGGGGTCTCTCTTGTCTAAAGACCCCTTCTCCTTTTTCCTCCTTGCTTCTTGCGCTGCTGTCAAAATCTTCAATGCTGATTAGAGTGAGTATCACACCATAGATTGGCAATCAAACCAATCGCAGCTTTGCTTGAATGGTCATTGTGACACAAATGAAAAATCTTGATGCTGTCATCCATTCCAGCACAAAAAGGAAAATTCCCAAGGAGATGGGTCCGATATATGTAATGTCGCTCCTTGTTGCACACAACAAGCTGTCAAACTCATCCCCCGCTACCCTTTCTCCTTACCTCTCTCTCACACACATACACAAACACCACGCATCATATATGCACAAGAAGAAGCCCCGATAGAATTATGAATTTTGGGCGTAGTAGTCTGCCTGGTTGCCTTTATATATATATACACTTTACCATAAGCCATATCATCCTATACAAGGTATAGCGTATCTTTGTCCAATCGTCGCCGCTGCTCTTTTTTTTTGGGATCACATGGCTACGTCAAAGACATGTGTCAGTCGCCAATCTAGTCACAACTACGCCCTGCCTGCACACGCACACACACCATATCTTTCACATTGAGCCGCAAATGTTGGGGATACATAATAATGCCTCTCCTTCTCCTATAAACCCTTTCCTTCTTCCTTCCACACACATACATCCCCCCTTTATTTATACACGCATCATCATCTGCATTCATTTTAAAAACGGACCTCCGACTATATACCCAAACCAACAACATGACCCAATCGAACAACGAGATCGATGAAAGAACAGCTCTGCTTGAACAGCAGCATAATTTCAGCCACTACAACACCACATTGACGTGGTCCGAATTGCCAAAATGGATGCAAGATAATATCTTCATTACATCAGGTTATCGATCACCGAATAATAGCTATCGTCGTTGTTTTCAAAGCCTGTTTTATCTTCATAACGAAAGTGGTCTGTGCTCTCACTTTCTTTTTGCAAAACTCAACCCTTGCTTGGGCTTGATGATGATGATGATGATTACCACGTGCTAAATTGTGTGGTGTTGCATTATAGTCAATATTTGGAGTCACCTCCTTGGTCTGGTGCTTTTCATTGTTCTTTCTCTCCACTTTTTCTTGTATCCACATTCATTTGCAGACTCCTTGACCACCTTTGATTATGTCTATTTTTGCAGCTTTATGGCAGGTGCCATGCTGTGTCTTGGATTCAGCAGTGGATACCATTGCTTTTGTAGCCATTCGGAGCTCGTTGCAGCACAATGGAACAGGTGCGATTACACAGGCATCGTGACCCTGATTGTGTAAGTAAATGATGGTATTAGCCGTATGACCAAATATAGCTCACATCATCATCATCCGTCAGGGGTTCCTTTTATCCAGTCCTCTACTATGGATTCCATTGCCATCCCACTCCACAAGGTAAAATTCCATCTTTCAATTGGCATAAGTATAGCCTTTATTGACACTGTTGCTTCTTCTTTTAGTGGTCTATCTAGCTGTGATCACTGCATTGGGTGTTCTCACGGCGGCTGTCGTGTTGCTCAGGCATTTCAGGACACCGGCATATCGATGGATGCGTACAGGGCTCTTTCTTGCTCTTGGTCTTTTTGGTATTGTTCCTACATTGCATGGCATTTGTTTGTATGGCGTAAGTAGCACCCATCTCTCATCCAGAAGGAAAAAGAGAATACTCATTCCTTTTAAAAGATTGGGACTTCCTTGGATACCATCTCTCTGGGATACCTTGTTGTCATGGCAGTGTCATACGTGAGTGGAGCATTGATTTATGCATGCAGGTAAAGTTGTAACAATGAATGATCCACACAAACATGTATCTTACACTCCTAAAAGAATTCCAGAACGATGGTTTCCTGGCAAATTTGATATCTGGGTAAGTAGCACACACACCTCCTCACAACATGTACTCATAATCCATCCTCAACCAGTTTGCATCCCATCAAATCTTCCATATGCTCGTTCTTGTTGCCGTGATTTCTCATTACCTTGGCGTCATGCAGGCCATGACCTATTGGCATACCAATGGTAGCAAAAGTGCATGTATCCAGCTGTTCACATCATAGAAACAAAGATTGTTCGTGAAAGAAGATATATAACATGTATTTTGAATGTGTGATGATGATGATGTGGTGTGTGTAGGCGTTGAATACAGGACGTTGTTGTGATGTCTTTTTTGTCTCTCTCTAGATATACTCTAATTACAATCCCATGGCTTCCTTGAGGACCTCCTTTCTCCTTTCGATCTCGGTTGCGCTGGAGGATCTGGTTTGCATAAACTCGTCGATGTTGCTGATGTAATTGTAACGGAAGGGTGGCATAGCCAAAAGCTCATCAATCTTGGCATCCAAGTTCTCCAAGGTGACAAAGGATTCGGATGAACGATACAACTTCAATAAATGTTTGCGACGCATAGCAGCAAGATGAGCATCATGCGTTTGACGGTTTTGTTGTCGAAGCATTTGACGTTCCTCCTTACGAGCAGCAACCGCTTCCTTGGAATGGACATTGCCAGTCTGCAAATCTAAGAGTTTGGTGATCTCGGCTTCGTGTTGTTGGGCTTGTTGACGTTCAAGGGCCAAGGCTTGCTTTTCTTGTTGCATGTGAGCTTCGTTTTCGGCACGCTTGGTAGCTGCTGCTGCTTCACGTTGACCATGCTTGCCGAGCAACTCTTGTGCATAGCGATGACGCGTCTGACGAAGCTGTTCACGGTATTGTTGCTTGGGGCTTAAGGACTGTGCATTAGGTACTGATTTATCGGGATTGCCCAAGTGCGAAGGAAGCGAGGTGCTGGGATTGCGACGCTTGGTGACGATCTTGGGTGTTTCACGACTGCCCTTAGGTGGAGCGAAACCAGCAGCAAAGTTGGAGGCGAATCGACGTTGAACAAACCGATGCATCGTAATGGCGGCGTATAGGGTGTTGGTCGTATTTACAAGAGGATGGTTGGATTGTACCCTGTCAACTCAAATCAACCCCTTTTCCCGCTCCCATTCCCCACACCAATCAAAACGAAAAGCAGTCAGGCCCCAATGAGCCACACTACTTGCACGTGATACAGGTTGTTCTATCCCAATCCATGCTTCATCCTTTTAAAACACCCAAGACCTGTGGCCGATAATCGTGTTTTGCTGCTAGTTTAATCCATCATACTTATACATAAATTTATTCGTTATTGCACACGGCCTCCATTGTCTCATTATTAGTATGCTCGTAATAGCAGAGATCACCCATTTCCTATCATCAGCGTAATGCATCCATATGCAAGTTGTTTATCTTGTTGATCATTAATTCATGGTTACATGACATGATGATCGTGCAAAGTACCATCATTTTGCCGTTCCACAGCAATCATCGACTTACAGCATTCCTCATATATGCACCATTCTGGAATCCACACAAGAAGCGTAAAACATCAATGAACAACGTCAAATGAATATGACAGGGATGTCACACAAAGTTATGCAAGTCTTAGTGATGGATCAGTGGGTGGTTTTAATAAAAGAAACAGGATGAAAACAAGCTCGTACAAAAGATCAAGTGCATGGGATCAGGGTGTAAGGAAATATGGGATGACAATAACCTATCCATGGTAGACCTGGCAACGCAGCACACGTTTTGAGGCAGTGAGTCAATGCAATATCAATGAGATGCAAGTCAACGGTAGCCAAACGCCGTAATGGGGTGATCAAAAACAGCAAAGCCGTGTAACCAGCCGCTTGGAACTCATGCGCTTCCACTTGTTGGTGATCGTCATCGTTGCCCTTTGGACTGCAACGTTCACATTGGGTTAGCCATCTATCGAATGTACTCTTCAATGAACCTCTATTAACAACTGCAACCACAGCCGAGGACATTGCCACAAAGTTATACCCTTACATTTACACCAATCTCAACAACTGGCCATGTGTACGGCTACTCAACGCAACAAGCACCATTGGTTGTCATGGTAAGTCGTCCTTGATGCTTCGTTACCGCTCTTGCTGAAACTCTTCTCCAAGTACCATCCACTGGAAGTGGTGTTGTATACCATATCAAGTCGCAGGACGATTTGGACAGCTTTGTGAATGGTGATATCGGCACCAGCGACGCCTACAGTATCGTACTTGGCTATGATCTTTTCACACGGTAAGGAGGAAGCATAGGGAATGTCAACCATCACAAGACTTACACCATCCTGTAGTCAAAATATACATGCATTGGATTCCACTGGCCGTGTCGTAGGACTAGTCGCGTTATTGCGAGGAGCAATGGACCAAGACCAGCTTGCCAATGTCAAATCCCCGGACAGCCCTTGCCCAAACTGCCAATTTGGCCTTTATGCACAAGATGAGGATGCCTATGTATGGAATGTGGATGTAAGTAACCAAGTACTAAAGGAGATAGATGGCTCCATATTGACAATGGATATACATCTTCAGGGACAAGATTTGATTGGAGAGAGCTTTAGTATACCGATCTTTGGATTGAATCCCACATCACAATCATCCAAGCAGATTTACAGCTATGTCATGGATGTAAGTATACATCAAGGATTATTTGCATTATTGGATTTCTTATATTGGGGTATTAGATGGTGCGATACAATGAAGAACGCAACTACTCCCATTATCCGCTACAGGCCATGGATTTCAATATCTTTATGTGGGCTGCTGCCAATTCAGAAACATGCTTGCGTCGAGGTAGGCCATAAAGTAAATTGTATAGGGATATCAATGGCGTTGCTGATAAAGCTTGATATAGGATGGTGTGAACCAGTTGGCGGGTTATCAGTATTTGCTTCACCCTCGTTGAACATACAAGCGGATGATGGAAAGCCTGTGGTGGTATTGGCAGCCGCGATGGATAGTCGATCTATGTTCCATGACTTGACAATTGGTACGAACACGGATGTGTCAGGGGTGGTTGCATTATTGGCAGTAGCAGAAGCCTTGAGCCGAGTAAGTAATGTTTTGGTTCTACCGATTCAAAGTACTGAGACAATCTTTTGTTATAGGTACCAACAGCCGATCTTTCAAAACACATCCTCTACACGCTTTTTGCAGCTGAACCTTGGGGATTTGCAGGCTCCCAGCGATTTGTACAAGACATCAGCCATCCATTTTCATGCACCAATGCATCTCGTGCTATCAAATGTCCCTTTTCAAACGCTCCATGCACCAATCCTTGTGTACGCTCTCTGGAATTTACAAAGATCAACATGGATAATATCGATACCATTATCGAGTTCAATTCGGTTGCCAACGCCAATAGCTCAGGGTATTGGGGACATGTCGATGATACCTCAGTGAGTGGTCCTTTGGTTGACAGCTTGGTCCAATCGGGAAATGCATCTATCCAACCAGCCTATCAGGATGGCACGCAACGAAAGCTTCCACCTAGCAGTACTATGAGCTTCCTCGCAAAGAAACGTGATACACGTGCTGTCGTTGTTACCGATTATCAGAAACAATTGGGAAGGTAAAGATCAAATGTATGTGTGTGTGTGCCTTTATTCATCTACTCACACAATATGTCTAGCCTTTACAATAGCGATGTGGATGATGCAGCAGCTTCTAATACGACCATACAATCCATATGCCAACTCGCAACCGCTACAGCCAAAACCATCTATGCAGATGCCCAAGGGAACAACACCGATGCTGTCACTGCCAATTGCACATTAGTCGCGTCCTTAATGGATTGCCTCGTATCGAACTTTTCTTGCCCCTTTATGCAAAATTACTTTAACGGTACGTCAACTGATTGGATCCCTCGTCAAAGTTTACTAACATTGGACATTGTAGTGTCGGGGATCTCACGCGTCAGCCATTATACATCCGTATTCAATGTTCGGAACCCACAACCACAGCTTATTCCTCGTTTTGCTTTTACTTTCTTGGCGGATGTCACTGGGGTGGATCAACAGCGATCGTGTCAAACCATCCAAGACTGCGGCTCTGATGAGTATTGTGTCAAGCAGCGCTGTATCAAAACATTTACGGCATACCATGACGCCTATGGCACCGGTCTTCAGTATGATGAGGGTACAGGCGAGATCAAAGTGGTGGATCCAACAAAAGGGACATGGACAGAAAGCACGTGAGTAAAAAAGATGTTGCTTTTTCTCTACAGCACACTCATTGGATATCTATGTAGATGGAATGCACCCATACTACGGGTATTCTTGGTGACATCTCGGAAGCATCAAATTGTAGAGCTTGTGGTTGGGATCTTATGCACCATTGCAAGCGTAACAGCTGTGCTGTTTGGTAAACGCTTTTTCAAAAAGACGTTCAAGATTGACTAGTACCTTTTTTACAACATCACTTAATAAATCATCTCCTCCATAAGCTTCATGGCTGTTGTATCTCTCAGGGTGCTATTATCGATTTATCGGATTTACATAAACGCTATCATCAAAAAACGCTGTACTCAGAGTTGCCCGATCCACTCCTTTGACGCACATGCATAATACAGAATCTCTCGAATCATCATTATCAACATTATGCAACATTTTAGTGCCTACGTACTACTCCCACGCTTATACCTATGACAACAGACATGCACATGCAAGTAAACATATAGCGACCGATGTATCTAGGGTATCCTGTTCGCATATGTATGGCTTGTCAAACATCAAAATAATGGTATAGTAACACGATCTTTAGAATTATCAGCGATGGTGAAGCACCTACTTTACACATCACAATCCCATCGATTGGGTATATGGCATGACTTGAGTACAGTAGCGGTCTCCTGATCACTCAGCAAATACCTTTTCGTGAAGCTATAACGTACGCATATGGCGTTGTTTTCGAAAGGTTTAGAAAGGAGTTGAATACACTCCTGCATATCTAGGAGTTCGACTTGCGTCAGATGAGCCCATGATGTGGGATTAGCCACTGCTTTTTACGCACGTACACAACATAGCTATATGGATGACACCTAGTGTATACCCTCGCTAAAGCTACCGTCTCGTCATTTTAGTTTCTCTGCTTTCAATAAAGAGGAAGTGAGTGGAAGTGGTCCATTCTATAACAAAAGGGCATCACCATGCCGAGAGATTGCTCTTTTAGTTTCCATTTCAAAGATTCCGCTGATCCATCCAGAGCGGCAAGAGGACAATAAATCATGGTTTTAAATTTAAGGAGTTGCGCCATGAACTAACGAGAGCGTCCTATACTGTATGCATTGACTTGTTAAGCTTGCTATACAACATCACCCGTTGAATCCAGTGGCTGCCACAACCCCCTTAATTCCATTATTATATAAACGTAGAGCTGGGCAGCAGATTTTGCTCGTATCATCAATCAATCTTGATGTACTTCAAGCTCTCTATTCTTATTACCCTTGCCCTGTGTGCGGTTACAGTGTTATCTCAAGATGGATCCCACGGGACAGACGCAGCGGCAGATGCTCGTGGACACATTCTAATAGAAAGTCATTGCCAAGAGAAGTGCGAAGGAAAGTTGGGTGCGGACAAAACCACATGTATGGAGGCCTGTTGGAAGAAAGCATACAAAAAACCAGCTCCACAAGAATTTCGCGAAGGCTGGTGATGAAGATGGCCTGTTCCCAGTTTATCAAATTGGACGGTGGATTGCCAAATTTTTATACCGAATACGTCTTTGTCCTTAGTCTGCTATCTTATACTTGGACAAAACACCACTGATCTTGTTTCATCACTGCAATAAATGCTGTAAACTCCCATCCACATCAGAAAGTACGTTGTCGTGTATCATGATTCGCATCTCTTTCCTTTATTATAGTATACACCTTGAATTGCATACAAGTCTAAAGCTACTTTTTTATGTGCGTATTACTGTGGATGGTTTTAATTGCAGCCGTGTATCCTTGTAGTCATTCATTAAGGTTTTCATTGTCCTCCAATTATCATCATCGCTTTTCAAAGTATACAGCCATCCTCATTTGAATAAAGCATAGAATACAGATGTATTTGGACATAATTTACACATGGTATTAAGGAATTTTTTACTTGTATTGAGCAGCAACGAGCTTGGCAATGGTCTGCAATTGGATGTTGCTAGTACCTTCATAAATAGCACCAATCTTTGCATCACGGTAGAACTTTTCAACACCCAACTCACGAGTGAAGCCAACACCACCACACCATTCGATAGCCTTGCTAGCGGCCTTTTCAGCAATTTGGGAAGCGTAAAGCTTGGCCATAGCAGCCTCCTTGATAAAGCTGCGACCTTCTTCCTTGAGACGGGCAGCGTTGTAGGTCAACAAGCGAGCAGCTTCAATCTCAACGGCAACTATGTACCCCAACAAACATCAGTACACGCCATCATGATTCCACTTTTATCCTTTGTCAACAACTTACTCTGAGCATATTGATGTTGCATGCCTTGGAAATCGCCAATGTTGGTGTTGAATTGCTTACGTTGGAAGAGATAAGGCAAGGCAATATCATAGGCACCTTGAGCGAGACCAATCATTTGGGCGGCAATACCGATACGGCCTTCGTTCAAGATTTCAATAGCATACTTGTAGCCCTTGCCAACTTCACCGAGAACATTCTCCTTGGGAACCTTGATATCGTCAAAGTTGAGGACGCAGGTGGATGAAGCACGGATACCGAGCTGGATGTATACAATGAGCACCATGTTGCATAAATATAGGTTGCATTATCATACCTTGCTCTCCTTCTTGGCGATTTGAACACCCATCGACTTGTCGACAACAAAGCAGGTGATACCCTTGTAGCCCTTGGAAGGATCACTGTATTCTCTCATTGTTAGGCATGTTTCCTTTCTTTTAAACCTCCTCCAATTCGTTACTTACACGTTGGCAAAGACCAAAAAGACATCAGCTTCTCCTGAGTTGGTGATCCACATCTTGGAGCCGTTCAAAACGTAATGATCATCCTTCTCCACAGCACGTGTTTGCAAAGCAAAGGCATCGGAACCCGATCCTGATTCCGACAAGCAAAAGCTTCCCACGCTCTCGGTGGCCAACTTGGGCAAGTAGCGACTCTTGAGGGCTTCACTACCATACTTGCGAACAACAGTACCAACAAGCGTATTTTGGACATCACAAAGAACACTGACAGAGGGATCCACCTTGGCAAGTTCTATAAAGGTTCATCATCATCATCATCCATGTAAGTCATTTACAACTTGATTTCAACACTTGACAGCTGTCCCAATAGATACCTTCAATGACAATGATGGCCGAGGTAAAAGAGCAGTTGGAACCATCATACTCGGCTTCGGTCTCGATACCCATCAACTAGAGGAGTAGCTCACGTTTAGATGCTGTTTTCGATCATGTTGCATTGCATAAAACTTACACCTTGGTCGAACAAGCCCTTGATGATCGATGCATCCATATGTTCGGTTTCATCCATTTCATTGACCTTTGGCTTGATAACATCCTGAGCAAAGCGAGCAACTAACAAGAACAAGAGTCAGCCAAAGAAGAGAGCGTTTGACATGGGGCCTTGTCAATGTACCTGAATCCTTGAGCATTAACTCTTCCTCGGTAAAGGTTTGGAGCGATGCAGGCATAGCATTGCGAGCAATGGCGGAATGGGTGAAAGTTCTGCAAGGAGTTACATGTATTAGGTACGCGTGGTATGCATGGCGGTAATAGCAGCAATGAGATACCTCTTGGGAAGAGCACGAGTAGCGAGGCCAAAGGAGCGAGCAGCAGTTCTCAACATTGCGGGGAAGAAACGTGACAAAAAAGAGGAAGAGTGTCGTATACTCGAGTTTAAAGAGAATTGAGCCCTTTTCACATGAATCCGATAACTCAGGTCATATCTCCACCATTTCCATGACAAAACCTATAAACATGAGTCTCCGTTTAAAAACTAGCCATTGTACTTCTTCCTTCATCATCCTCCGCTTCTTGATAGGTAAACATTTAAAGCGACATGGTCTATTTTGCGGGGTAAATATGGAGGATCAACGTGAAAGTGTCTTTTGCATGATTGAGTTATCTAAAGCGGTATATTGGTGGTCCTTTAATATCTTCTATGATGTTGCAAGCAATATGTATTCTAGCTCTTTTCGTTGTTTTCTTCGTCGATCACGGATGATCCTGAAAAGCCAAACACCAAAGATGATGATTAATGCAAAGATGACCCATTCCCATGTGTAATCAACAATAACACGACCGAGCTCAGGCAAGGCACCTTGAGAGGCGAGAGGATCACCCGATTCCATGGGTGGAAGAATAAAAGCAGTAGGATGGTCATCACCATTTCCAGCAACGACAACTTCAGGAAGATCTCTTAATCGTCGGAGAGTGATACCTTCAATGCTTGGTGCTAAAGAATAAAAATGGTCAATGACATTTGCGAGCATATGAAAAAATGATACTTACCTAAACCATCGGGGTTATCGAAATGGATATCATTGTTTTCACCTTCTGTCAGCACGATACCCATGGTGTAACGGTTGCGTTGTTGACCTAACCAGTGATGTGATGACCTAAGCGAAATCCAGGTTGGTTCGCCGTCGTTCACAGTGACTCGTAGCTTCCATCGACGCGTAAACTTGTTCCCGCAAGGATCCCAGCTAAAGCAATCTCGATAAGTGATTCCCATGGCATAAACACCGCGACCTTTAACTTGATGGAAAGTGAGAGCACCCGTTTCAGGTGGATTTACATTGCCAAGAGCAATAACATAGGCATCACCAATCGCTTTTTTTAGCCCACGTCGACGTGCCAAACCATGAACGTTGTTGCTTAATGATGCTGCTGGGTATACTTCTTCGTCGGTATTGGCAATAATAGACCATTGTTCCATTGGCAGCTTGCTATGATTAAAGGTCCCACCAGTGAATTTGAATACTTTTGCTTCATGTGCAGCAAGGAAAACATCAATCGAGGTGCTAAAAATAAACATTCATATCATATTAGAAGAATGATCCATTTTTGAAGCATGGCCTGCAACTTTTTACCCATTGGTCACTTGGCCGCTCCAAAGTTCAGTTGCAGTTACGTTGGGTCCTTGATATCCAATAGACCAAGGCTTCGATACATCGGTTGCCATGCCACCAGGTACGTCGTCCCAATTCACCATGACGACCACGAGACTATCATTCGCTAATGGGCCAGCCCAAATATCAGTGTAGGCACCCGAGCCATGAATGCGACGTGCAGGAATGCCTAGTGGATCTTGCTAGTAGTATCAATGGTAATAAAAAAGAAGGGGTTTAGAAAGCATGATAGGTGACACAAGGCAGCAGCGTCTTACATTGACAGCAATGATCTCTGGGTTGGTGGCAATGTCGTACAATTCCTTGGGCATCTCTGCCAAGGTGTTGCCAAGAATGAGAGGTGCTTTAATAGCGGCCCACAGTGACATTTGTGCCTTTGATTCATAGTAGTTGAGACGCCCATTTCCGATCTACATAAACTCTCATGATTATTATCTATTGCCATTATGTACACGGCTCAACGTTGCACGTGGTGGGTGCTCAGCCCAGTTGTACCTCCAACATATCTATAAAGTTGGTTTGTTAACATGAGATACGGAGTTTTTGATCCAGAAGAGGTATGTGGATGTAGATGTGGATGTATAATAAAAAAACATACCTGGATCAGCCCAATGACCGGGACCACCGAAATCAATCAATTTGGAATGAACGGCCATGATTTGCACAATGGAGCTCCAGTCATTGTAGATATCATCATGTGTGCGAAAGCTTTGTCCCATCTGTGATGCCCAATCCCAGGTGTTTTCTTAAAACGGCGTATAGGTAATTAGATTTGGCAAAAGAACAAGAACAAGGTTTGCTCTTTGAATAGCAGCAAACAACAAATTTGGATGATGCTTCTTACCAGCTCCCCATGAGCATATAGAATAAAACATGTCTCGGCCGGTCTTGTCAATGGCATCCTTCATCGTTTGAAAACGCACATGGGCAGGGCCATCGTTTTCACCCCAATTGCAATTGTCATACTACAGCAGATCATACATGTTAATCCCATTGCATCCAAGGTGCGTAGCAACGATGCGGATGTGAAAAAAAGAGGGCGGGTGAAACATTGAAAGTTCTTTGTACCTTGAGATAGTCGACACCCCACTCAGCGTATGTAGCAGCATCTTGCGTTTCGTATCCTAATGATGCCATTCTTCCTATTGTTGTAATAAACATCATTATTAGCAAATACTTGAGACTCGAATGCGTGATGATGTGTATTCACCTGCACATGTTTCTCGGCCTGCACTGCTATAGATGCCGAATTTAAGACCTGATGAGCCACACGGAGGAAGATGATGATAATGGTGATGGAGTGCAAGGACGAGAAAATGATATTATTAGAGAACCGAATCAATGTATCACTTATTCTTCATACCTCGTGAATGCACGTAATCTGCAAGAGGCTTGATACCACTAGGAAATGCTTCAGAGTCGACAATGATGGTGCCGTTTTCATCACGTTCATTGGATTGCCAACAATCATCAAGGTTGAGGTATTCATAACCGGCTGCAAGATAACCTGTGTATGGGTGTAAGTCATTACGATCGTCTACAATGGTAATAGAAGGCTACCATGATCCACCATGATATCAGCTGTCTCTCTGATCAAATCCTCGTTAATGTTGCAGCCATACTTGTTCCAGGTATTCCTGGGAAGGAATTAGAAGGGTGCAATTGCATAGTGTTGTTGTTCTTGGCATACATACCAACCCATAGGAGGAGTCGCTGCCAGCTTTGATTTAGAATCCATGTCAAGCAGTAGTAGGAAAAAGAGAAGATATGGGAAAGAGAAAGAAAGTAATAATAAACGGGAGTTGAGCGGGCTGTATGGCTTTATTCTTGAACAACGATGCAGAATCTACAGTGCTGGGTACGATCATGCGTGAAGGATATTGCAATGTACGACATTTATATACATTTCCTTCTTTTCCCCACTTCAATGTTGTTATTGAAAGTCATCCAATGCGGTGATGATATCGTAGGCACGCAGTTGCTGTGTTGGTTGCCAAGCAACCCGGTGGCCCTTGGATTGTTTGCCACTTGTCAGTTAAACTTGAATTGCCAATTAGCATGATATGTATGCGTGTGTGTGTGTGTGTGTGTGTGTGTGTGTGTGTGTAATGGTTGGCAACATGTGATTCAATGCAGCAGCCATATTTCAACATGATGCAAAGAGTAGCGGAGGATAAAACATTATCCCGCAGCAGCAAGAAGATCAAGAGTAATGGAAAAGAGCATTTTTGATATTATAAAAGTGAAGGTGTCATATGTATGTGTGTTTGCAAACATGTATGTATTGTTGTTATATGGTATCAAGATAACTCATGCATTGATTTCACATAAGGGAGCTATTGTAATGTGTGTATGTATGTGCGGCGGGTGATGTGTGATGTGTGTGTGTAACACCGAGAGTCTCCACTCACGTCATGACGCGCTCTATCCAGGCTACTACTGAAAAAAAGTCCGTCTTCTGCTTCCTTCACACTCGAGCTCGTCCACTATCATTGGAAGGAAAAGCAAGAGATGAGTGAAATACTTCCTATAAAGTTCCAAGAGCACACCCAGGTAACCAACCTTGCTTCCATTCGTGCATCTACGTCGCTTCCTTTTTATTCCGAGTGCTAACAAGATGATGTGGTCAATCGTCCTCCCAAATCTTGCCACCCACCATTCTATCAACAATAGCTCCAAAGTCTTGGCGTCAATGCGGCGAGTATTGGCTTTACGACCTTGACCATGGAGTCAGACCGCTTCATTTGTGTTCGCGAGCAACAAAACAACCAACCTCAAGTAGTCATCATCGACATGGCCAACCAAAACGAGGTCATGCGACGCCCATCTCAAGCCGACTCGGTTATTATGCATCCTACAGCCAAGATTATGGCACTCAAGGGTGAGTGTGTGTGTGTGTGACATGATGTGGTCCATCACCATTACCTCATCTAACATGTATGTTGATTGATATAGCATCTACCCAGTTGCAAGTATTCAATCTCGAGACCAAGAGCAAGTTGACTTCGTATATGATGCCTGATGAAGTTCGATATTGGCGATGGTTGGATGTCAAGACGATTGCCATTGTTACGGATCGTTCGGTTTTCCATTGGTCGATTGAGAACAACACTGCACCTGTCAAGGTCTTTGATAGACATTCAAACCTTGAAGGGTGCCAAATCATCAACTACCGCGCCTCATTGGACCAAAAGTGGCTCGTCCTTATTGGTATCTCGGCTCAGCAAAATCGTGTCGTTGGCTCCATGCAGCTTTATTCCAAAGAACGTGGCGTCAGTCAACCTATCGAAGGCCATGCTGCTGCTTTTGCTGAACTCAAGTTGGATGATGCTGTTGCTCCCACCAAGCTTTTCAGTTTCGCCGTACGCTCTGCTAGTGGCTCTGCAAAGGTAATAACAACATCATGTGTATGGATGCGGAAAATGAACTTTAATACTAACAATGAGCCCCTTCGATAGCTTCAAATCATTGAAGTCGATCATCAAGAAGGCAATCCTCCCTTCCAGAAAAAGTCCGTTGAGGTCTATTTCCCGCCAGAGCATCAGAATGATTTCCCAGTCGCTATGCAAGTCAGTAACAAATATGGCATCATTTATATGATCACCAAGAGCGGCTACATCCACCTTTATGACCTTGAGACTGGTACCGCCATTTACATGAATCGAATCAGCAATGAAACCATCTTTGTCACCGCCGAACATGAAGCATCATCTGGTATCGTGGGTGTCAACAAAAAGGGCCAGGTATGAAGATGATAGAACAAGCGTGGTTGGTGGTATATCGGATACTAATGATATGCAATTTTGCATAGGTCCTTTCTGTGAGCTTGGATGAGAACACCATTATTCCTTATATCCTTCAGACCCTCAACAACTCTGAATTGGCTTTCAAGCTTGCTTCTCGTGGTGGTCTCCCTGGTGCTGATGACATGTACATTCAACGTTTCAACCAACTCTTTTCATCAGGCGCATATGGTGAAGCTGCAAAGATTGCTGCCAACTCGCCAAGGGTATGCATGATAGGGAATGAATACCAGGATCAAGATCAAAATGGCTGATATTGGGATTATACAATGTTAGGGTATCTTGCGTACTGTAGAGACCATTGAACGTTTCCGCCAAATCCCCAATGCTGGTCAAGGTCAAATGACGCCTATTCTTCAGTACTTTGGTATCCTTTTGGAAAAGGGCGGCTTGAACAAGTACGAATCGTTGGAGCTTTCCAAGCCTATTCTCCTCCAGAACCGCAAAGAGCTTTTGGAAAAGTGGCTCAAGGAAGATAAGCTTGAATGCAGCGAGGAATTGGGTGATTTCGTCAAGCAATACGATGCTACTTTGGCCACTTCAGTCTATTTGCGTGCCAACGTCCCCAACAAGGTAATTCAAAGATGGGAAAATGGTTTGGGATGGATCATTGTATTGATGAGGATTGTTACTACTTAGGTTGTCATGTGCTTTGCTGAGAGCAGACAATATGATAAGATCTTGGCGTACACCAAAACTGTGGGCTACACTCCCGATTACAATGCATTGCTTTACAACATTGCTCGTGTCGATCCTGAACAAGCAACCAAGTTTGCCACTGGTCTTGTCAATGATGAGAATGGTCCTCTTATTGAACCTGAAAAGGTATACTTGGAGGAAGATGGCGTATGTTTGAATGATACTAACACCCTTTTTCATATTAGGTCTTTGATGTGTTCTTGTCACAAAACATGATTCAAGAGGGTACCTCGTTCTGCTTGGATTATCTCAAGCCCAATCGCCCTGAAGATGCCAATCTCCAAACCCGTGTTCTCGAAATGAACTTGATGCACGCTCCTCAAGTCGCTGAAGCTATTATGGGCTCTGGTATGATCACTCACTACGATCGAATGACCATTGGTAACTTGTGCGAAAAGGCTGGATTGTACCAACGTGTAAGTAATAGCAGGAGGAAAAAGGGATATGAGCTCATTTATTCACAATCAACAATTCTTTAGGCTTTGGAACACTTTACCGACATCCACGACATTAAGCGTGTTATTCCCTACACCCATGCCATGAATGCTGAGTGGCTCGTCAACTACTTTGGCACCTTATCTGTGGATCAAACCTTGGAGTGCCTTAAGGAAATGCTTTCCAACAACTTGCGCCAAAACCTCCAAGTCGTTGTGCAAGTCGCCATCAAATACTCTGAGCAGCTTCAGCCCCACAACCTTATTGATTTATTCGAGTCTTTCAAGAGCAATGAGGGTAGGTGTGAATGAGCAATGATCAAAATGGATGGCTAACAATGTTGCATTAGGTTTGTACTACTATTTGGGCTCGATCGTCAATGTCAGCCAGGACCCCCTTGTCCATTACAAGTATATCCAGGCAGCATGCCGTACTGGCAATGTTCGTGAAGCTGAGCGTATTTGTCGTGAAAGCAACTATTACGATGCTGAGAAGGTCAAGAACTTTTTGAAGGCAAGTATTATAGGGTTCATTATGGGAAAAAGAAGAGATGTGTGTGTTTATTCTTATACCATTTATAGGAAGCCAAGCTCAGCGATCAATTGCCACTCATCATTGTTTGCGACCGCTTCAACTTTGTTCACGATTTGGTGCTTTACCTCTACCACAACAACCTTCAAAACTTTATCGAGACCTATGTCCAAAAGGTCAATCCTGCACGCACTCCCGAAGTCATTGGTGGTTTGTTGGATGTTGGATGTGATGAGGATGTCATCAAGAACCTGCTTCTTACCATCAAGGGTGATTTATCGGTGGCCAAGCTTTGTGAGGAAGTTGAACAGCGTAATCGTCTCAAGTTGTTATTGCCCTGGTTGAACATGCGTGTGACCGAAGGTTCAACGGATCCCGAGGTGTACAATGCTCTTGCCAAGATCTATATTGACACCAACAATAACCCTGAACCATTCTTGAAGGAGAACGAGGTATGTCCCATCATGCTATTCACATGGGCAAATAACTTATTTTCTTCTCTGTTAGTATTATAACCCTCGTCTCATTGGCAAATACTGCGAGAAACGTGATCCTTACCTTGCCTACATTTGTTACGAGAAGGGCCAGTGCGACTATGAGTTGATCCATATCACCAATGAGAACAGCATGTTCAAGCATCAAGCTCGCTACCTCATTCGTCGTCGTGAGGACACCTTGTGGACCCACGTTCTTCAAGAGAACAATGAACATCGTCGTGAGCTCATCGATCAGGTATGTGATTGTCGTCATTGTTTGGCTATTTTTATTCACATTTCCTGATCATATGCTTAATAGATTGTTGCCACCGCTCTTCCTGAATGCACTGATCCTGAGGACGTCTCGGCTACTGTCAAGGCTTTCATGGCTGCCAACTTGCCCAACGAGCTCATCGAGTTGCTTGAAAAGATTGTACTTGAGAATGGTGCTTTCAGCGATAACAAGACTTTGCAAAATCTCTTGATCTTCACTGCTGTCAAGGCAAGTATGAGCTATAGTAAAATGATCATCTTTGCCACGTGATCACTAACCAATTTCTACAGGCTGATTCTACCCGTGTCATGGATTACATCAACCGACTTGACAACTTTGATGCAATGGAAGTGGCATCTGTATGTTCGCAAGACAACTTGGACGAGGAAGCATTCACCATTTACAAAAAGTACAACGTCAACGCCAGTGCTGTGGATGTGTTGATTGATAAGATTGGTGATTTGGATCGTGCATACGAATTTGCCGAGCGTTGTGAACAACCTGAAGTGTGGAGTAAGCTTGCCAAGGCTCAACTTGACCAGATGCGTGTTAAGGAAGCTATCGACTCTTACATTCGTGCCAACGACATGTCCAACTATATGGAGGTGACCCGTCACGCTGAGATGGATAGCAAGTATGAGGATCTTGTGCGCTATTTGCAAATGGCTCGCAAGCAATCCCGTGAGCCTTACATCGAGACCGAGTTGTTGTTTGCCTATGCCAAGACTGAACGTCTCAGCGATTTGGAAGATTTTATTGCCGCACCCAACATTGCCAATATCCAACAAGTCGGTGATCGATGCTTCCAGAACCACTTGTATGATGCTGCCAAGGTGCTCTATTCCAATATCTCCAACCATGGTGCCCTTGCCACTACCCTTATCTACCTTAAGGATTACCAAGGCGCCGTCGATTGTGCACGCAAGGCCAACAGCACCAAGGTGTGGAAGGAAGTCAATGCCGAATGTATCCGCCAACAAGAATTCCGCCTTGCTCAAATTTGTGGTTTGCACATTATTGTTCATGCTGAGGAATTGGAAGAGCTTGTGCAAGTGTACGAGAAGAATGGATACTTTGAGGAGTTGATTCGTTTATTGGAAGCTGGTCTTAACTTGGAGCGAGCACACATGGGCATGTTTACCGAGGTGGCTATCCTGTATGCAAAGTATCAGCCCGAGAAGATGATGGAACATTTGAAGGTGTTTGTATCACGTATCAACATTCCCAAGGTGATTCGTGCATGCACAGATGCCCACTTGTGGCGTGAACTTGTGTTCCTTTACATGCACTATGACGAGTTTGATAACGCAGTGACTTCAATGATGGATCATGCCTCTGATGCCTGGGAGCACTCTGCATTCAAGGAAATCATTGTCAAGGTGTCCAATGTGGAGCTGTATTACAAGGCTTTGCGATTCTATTTGAACGAGCAACCTAATCTCCTCAACGACTTGCTTGCAACAATGGTCCCTCGTATCAACCACACTCGTGTCGTACAACTCTTTGAGAAATCCGACAACATCCCTCTGATCCGATCCTACCTTACATCTGTCCAAGAAACCAACAACAAGGCTGTCAACAGCGCACTCAACGAGCTTTACATTGAAGAAGAGGACTATGAATCATTGCGGGATTCTATTGATAACCATGACAACTTTGATTCGCTTGATTTGGCACAACGTCTTGAGAAGCACGAGCTACTCGAATTCCGTCGTATCGCAGCACATTTGTACAAAAAGAACCGCCGGTGGCGCCAATCCATTGCCTTGTCCAAGCAGGATCGTTTGTTCAAGGATGCCATGGAAACAGCAGCCGAATCTAAGGACCGTGAAGTTGCCGAAGAGCTCTTGCAATACTTTATCGAGGTCGGCAAGCGTGAATGCTTTGCTGCCATGCTCTACTCTTGCTATGATCTTATGCGACCAGACGTTGTCATGGAACTTGCATGGCGACATGGTCTCAACGACTTTGCTATGCCATACATGATCAACATGATGAAGGAACAATTCTCAAAGGTAATGGAGGATGCATCTATATATTGATGACTCGGGTATACTTATAACAAATGTGTATATATAGATTGATGTTCTTGATAAGGATGTATCAGAGCTCAAGGAAAAACTCGCAAAGCAAGAAGAAAACAATGAGAACGCACCACCAGCACCAGTAATGGGCGGTGGTCTTGGCAACCCACTCATGCTGACAGCTGGCAACAACACCATGCAATCCCCTATGATGACTGGTGCATCCTCTTTCAGCGGTGGACCACAACAACAATCCCCTCATCAACAATTTGGCAACTTTTAATATCCTTACTATACGCTTTACGAATCCCTATGCGACCTCCCCTTCAAAAGACACACTTTCAAAAATAAACGAATGATTTATCCACAATTTATAAAGCGAGACGTTCTAGCAATGCAACAATATCATCGCTTGTCTCGACACGATGATCAGCCAAGGATTTCTTGTCATAGGGGCCAACCGTAATGCAATACGCTTTCGCACCTGGAGGTATTAAATAACGATCAGAGGAGTCATGCTGTAATGCTGCAACGGATAATGAACGTCGGCGCACCAAAGGTGAAGAAGGTGACGAGGGTGTGGATGGAGCCGTAAGCACACTGAACATATCCTCATCGGTCCTATCATCGCCAGCGCATATAACAAGATCAACATCGGATCTTTCGGAAAGGATACGTTGAACGACAACCCCTTTGTTGATATCCACAGGTCGCACTTCAATGTTCTTTTTTCCAATCAACACAGCAATAGGCAGCTTGGGTACCAGGTTGTTTTCCAAATGATTTTGACACTCTTTGGCTTGGAATTCGCTATCGATTTTTCCTTGTGTGTAAGTAAAAAGAATCAGCTGATGACAAATATAAATGTACACTCACCCATATTCTGCGTCTGCTAATCGATAATGCCATGTGATGGAGGCTCGTTTGTGTTCAATAAAGCTGCCTTGTGTGCGCTCGGTGTAATAATCAAAGATTTCAGTCACCTGATCACGCCAACGCATATCATCCAGACCCATGCTTTCCTCCCATGCAGCGGCACCAGGCCATTTGACATAGCATCCATGTTCTGCACTAAATCCAAGACCTTTGATACCACCCAACCAGCTATCGAGCGTAGCTTGATCACGACCAGAGATAACCCATACTTGATTGGCAGGATCATCACACAGCTTTTGGAGTGCATGCAACATGCGAGGAGCTGGTTTAGCATCGGCTGGAACATTAACAATAGGTGCTAGTGTACCCTAATAAGTACATGTGAGTGCCACGGTAATAAATAAAGGAGGATGATTAACGTACATCATAATCAAAAAGCAAGAGTCTTTTCTTGGATTGGGTATAAGCAGCTGCAACATCCTTGACGATAAGCTCTTTGGCGGATGGCGAATGGGATGTGCTCATGAGTTGTGTGACAAAGGAATTTGCCCAAAAGGCAGCTGTGTGATTTGTTACATGGCGGAAGAGTTTCTGTAAAGAAGTACGTGTGAGTGTACACATATGTATGCGCTTGCGTTGTGTGGGAGTGGGAGCTCTAGGTGTGTGTAACACGTGTGCTCATTCGTGCACATCGTGCGAAAGGCTACATTAAAAAAACTGACCTCGTGCCGTGTTTGTTTCTCCTCAGGTGACATGGTCAACGCTTCATGGATCGCTTTGGCTACACCAACCTCATCCCAAGGGTTGACTTGAAGTGCAGCACTTGCAAGGATACCAGCCGTACCAGTAAATTCGGATAGAATGAGTGGGCCATGATGATGCTGTTGGCAATAAATGTATTCAAGTGACGTCGTATTCATGCCATCACGCACACTTGTAATAAGGCCAACGTCGGCTACTGATAGCATGGCATAATACTCGTCACGATCAATGTCTTGTTGATAATAATGTACGGGTGCAAATTCAAGTGATCCATACGTGCTGTTGATTTGGCTCACTGTTTCAGCAATTCGAGTGTCAAGGTTATGGTGAGCGTGTGGGGTGGGTGTAGTGACTTGCAGCAATACCACTTTTTGCCGATACTCTGGATACAGCTCAAGAAACTTTTGGAACGCCCGCAACTTTTGTACAATACCCTTGGTTGGATCAAGCTTATCCCGACCAACAATGATATGCTTGCCAGGATACAAACGACGAATGCTTTCCATTTTTGGCCTCACATGGGGTTGTTCACAAAATGCTCGCACTCGTTCAACATCAATGCCAATAGGGAATACACCAACGGATACGTGATGTCCATTCAAATTGACTCCTGTTAACGTTGATTCACACCCAAGCACTCGTGTGCATGATGAGATAAAATGGCGCGCATAACCATATGTCTATTGGTGGTGGTGGTTGTTTATACATGGGTTCGTTATTCTTCTCTCATGTGAGTAATTTATGTTGCTGTTTCCTTTACCTGAAATCCCACGAGATTAGCTCCCAGCACTCCTTGAAGGATTTCCTTGCGAGCTGAAACAACAAATTTTATCACATTAGTATTTACATAAAGGCCATCTTTGTACAAGGTCCTACATACTTGTGAGACATCGAAAGATCTCGGAGCTGGGGAAAGTTGCATGGAAGAAAAGGCCAATGACAGCATCTGGAATGGCTTCTCTTACAAGTTCAGGTACCAACAACAAGTGATAGTCATGAATGCAAATGACATCGCCTTGACGATAGTGTTGAACAATTGTATCAGCAAATCTTTGGTTGACAACTTTGTAATCCTCCCAGTGTCGTTTTTCCGCACGCCCATCGGTTGCCATCTGCCAAATCACATAATGGAAAAGTGGCCACAGCACTAATACATTTATGAATTCATATTATGTCATGATGATATTGCTTCCTTCTTCTTACATACCTTCCTTGCAGTAGCCTTCATAATGGCCGCGAGATGTCGTATCCAGAAAAATGGGTACAATCTTGCCAGTGTCCCACAAGAGCTTTCGCAAAGTTTGCTGGTCCCATAGCTGTTGTTGTTTGCTGCCGACGTTTTCATTGTTTTCAATATGGCCTGTCCATCCAATATGGATCGTTTCAGCTCGTTTACCCAAACTTGCTAGACCACTGTAGAGAGCTGCATGACCCCGACGCTGCACGAGTCTCCAATCAGCTGTATCAAACTTGGCACGCAAGGTATGGGCACGATTGTGTCGACGTGAAATTTTACTTATGGGTGCCTCCTGATGATCATTGTCATTGACATCGACTGAACCGGGAGGTGACAATGGAGGTGAAGGTAATGGTTGTTTGCGTATAATGTTGTATGGGATTTGATGACTGACATTGATGATTCGCCCCGGATTGTCGGGTTGAGTCGGCAAATACGAAGCAACGGTCTCAGGCGTGAGAATCATTTGGAAATGATAAACGACAAGTGAAAGAAGGAAGGAATTGGCCCGTGTGTTCCCAACCTGCAGATTTTATATAAACAGTGATTTATGCGGTCCGCTCATACACAAACGCAAAAACAGTAAACTGTATGCTCCCTTCTTATGGCCCCATAAATAAAGTTCTAGGGTCCCCCGGTCGTGCACATTTAATGCTGTCCCACTGGAGATTGCATCCAGATTACATACTCACCTCCTCATCCACCAATGCTTTGAACATCCATCCTTACACTTTCTCATGATGTAATCATTCCCATGATTGAAAATCCTCCTTTTATCAAAAAGAATGGCCCACTTTTTCTAATCCATGCTGTGCTATGGTGCAATGTTGAAGCACAATAAAAGGGTCCGGTACATAAATCGTTATCTTTCGTATCAGCCATGAATCAAATTTCATTGTACAAGCGAGGGATTTTTTTCTCATTTGTGATGCGCATTGACCTAAAGCAGCGAAAACCATGATGATCAACAACATGATTTCCACTCGTGAGCTTTATTAAACATACACAGCAGCAGCTGTATAATAGCAATGATGATGATGATGATGAGATGTTGCAGGAGTACATAGTAGGATGAGTGGTATTTGGAATACACAAAGACCCCTTGGTCTTTTTGTTTCAATTTGGAATATCCGGAAAGAGGTACATACGCACATTGTACCAGAAAGTTCCCCTGCACTTGAGTGGAGCGTAACACTTGTACGTCAACAAGGGCACCAGCCGCCACGTGAGCGACCCGAGATAGGAGAATGGTCAATCATGGGGTGTCATGTCTTTCACATTTATTCGATTGGATCCATTACAACACGCACAAAAGATGGGGGGAATATACAAGTTGCTTTTAATGCCATGCTATGTTATGCTTTCATGGGAGTTTGTGCTGCAATAGGCAATCCGAACTCATCCAGCTGGACTTCTTTCTTGTCATCCTTGGTTGCTGTCGGCTCGGCTTCCGATGCTTTTGGTAAATCAACGCTGGTAGCACTTTCATCTTGCAAATAGCTTGGTATCTCTTCATCTTCAAAATCCAATTCGTCACCCAATGCATCCAATTCTGCCTCCAAGTCCTCTTCATCGATATCTTCAGGTAGGTTGTATGAACGTCCCAACGACTCTTGCACCTCGTTGGCTTGGTCAATCAAGTCTTCCATTTCATCTTGTAGTTGATCAATCTTATCCAGGTTGACATTCTTGTATTGTTTCTTCATCTCCTTGTTGGCCGTCTGCATAGCATCAACCGTTGCCATCACATTGCGTAGGTTCTCGGTAGTCATCTGTGCTTGTTCCATATTGAAGGATTGTTGTTGAAGGTTGTCTCGTTGTGATTCATATCTATACCCCACACATATAACATGAATATCATCTACCATCATTGTCATCCACAAGCACTTACAGTTTACGTTGTTTTAGCACACGCAACGCTTTTTGTTGTACTGCTTTCTACAAGAAGAAGTCGTCGTCAAGACCCGTTGTCGTCGATAGCAACAAGCCGATCACCTTACCTTGGCAGGTCCATCACGCATCTTTTTCATTTGATCTCGATATCGTGTCAACTCGGCATCCAGCTTTCGAATCTTGACTTCTACGGCGTCTGCTCGTACATCGGTCTAACAGGAAACGTCAATAAAAGCTGTTGTTGTTCTTGTCCATGCCAATGGAAAAAAGTACCGATGAAATGGCGTCGTTCAATGTTGGTTTTGGAGTGCGTTTATTGGAACCAAAGAGTCGATTCATGATAGTAGTTGTAAAAGGGTGTACTGGGAAAACAAAAGAGAAACAATTGTGCAAGTATGTGTCTCCACATTCATCCGCATGATACGCCTTTGCCAAGTCTTCCACCTCACTGGTTGAGCCAATGGAATCGCCGCGCCAATTATAAAACTATCATGTGGGCAAAGTAAAGCTCTCCCCATCCATCCCTATCAACCTATATGCAAGGTGAGTGGTTGAGTATGTCTAGTCATACACGCAGCAGGGTAGAGGACATCATCTACATACATTCCCCAATTGCCTATGTAGCTCTCCAATGGTATCATTACAGATAGAGTCTTTTCCATCATGCACATGTAAACAAGGATGTTGTCGCCTACTATCATGCTTCTACACATCTCTTCTCCTTCTTCCATTATACCAATCTTTTGATTGCTGACACTTTCAGTGCCCAAGTTGATGCTTTACTTTGTACGCGATCCATATGAACTCGTTTTTGATGACATTTAGCCTTTCATTGTTATCCTATTTTCATTGTCATTGCTATCATTGTGTCATTTAGCTACTTTCTTAATGTAACGCCTAACCATCTTGCCTGATGAAGCATATACTATCATTTCCCTTTGATATAGCTACCTCGCGAGATGTATATGCAAAGCTTGAATCCACCCATTATCTCGAGTTGGTCCAGACGACTAGTAGCGATGATTACGACATTCACAACAAGTGCGATGATAACGACCACGAGATCCACAACAATGACGGTAACGACAACGGCATGAACAAGCATGGTTTACCTTTCTCTTTCCAAGATGATGTTACTTGATGATCCTCATATCTCATCGGATCCAAAAGGAAGCCTACAAGATCCATTCGTTTCTTCTACTTGTGTGATTTGGATATTCGGGGTGACGAGAAGATTGACGACTGCTGACCAGTACGAGTACGAGTACGAATGATGACGGACGAGGAAGGCGACGATGGTGTCAATGTAGCAAGATAGCTGGATGAAATAAAGCATTGTTTATCTATTACATACACGCTTGGGCTTTGCTAGCTTGTGGATTACATACTATTGCTTGAAGATGGAATAATAGAGGTGGTTCCGGTTATCGGTCATGCAACAAGTATATGGCTTTTGTGATACAACCAGAAGGAGAGGGAAGTGGGATGAGATTGAGAAGAGAAAAAGTGAAGAGATCCCTCCATTGAGTTTCAGGATGAGTGACTCATTCAATATGTATACGTATCTTTTTACATATACAAATTGGTTTATGCAGATCGACTTTCTTCTACATGCAAATGTGATGCATACCTTGACACACCTTCATTATTGGATGCTGTTTACTTACGTACCTTCACAAAAGGCAATCATCGTCATCATCCATTTGTGTAGCAACCTGTCAAGGACGTGTCTGTGTAACCATCACGTCCCATTTCACACAGCTCTTCATCTTCCCGTTCATGCAGTCAACACCATCCACTAGGAAAAAGCAGCTCCATCATGCTTACATCATACGTGAAACATAAAGGTGCCTGTATCTCCAAACTTTACAATCAAACGTGGGTTCTTTAATAGATCAACGTGCTTGTCGGGGTCAAAGGAATCTTGTGTCAAAGTATGAAGTTCATCGTGGGCGATCCCAGATTTCGCAATGTCGCTACCAGCCAAACTGGATCCGGGGCTCAACCTCTTTCGACGACGACCAAAAAAATATTTTTTGGGCTGTTTGCGACATTGAACGCGAAACTTTCACACAAGGTGCTGTTGGCCAAGCCGAGCCCATTGCTCTAATAAAAACCCCACGTTTCATTGTAAAGTTTGGAGATACAGGCACCTTTATGTTTGTAAGTATGATGCTATATGAAGAGTGGTCTTTGTTCATAGTCAAGTAGGTGGACCCGGGCAGAGCAAAAGTTGCAGAAGGTCGTGTTGTGTAACACAGCTACGTTTGCATGAATGAAAGGGTCAATGTATAATTACTTTATGGATCATCTAGGAACAGGCATGTATTGCTAGCTAACGGCCACTTTTATCCAATCATCATTGTTGCGAGATCCACTGCATGGGAACGATGCCCCTTCTCTAGACATTCATTTCCATGATTAAAGTAGGTTGATCCGAGCTGATTTGACTGAGCTGCGGTCAAAGAAGTGCATCACTCTGGACATCAAGCACGCTCGATGTAGCTCAACCGATGTAATCTTGTGTGAGCGTAACTCAACCAAATCAGCTCGGATCAACCTACTTTAATCATGGAAATAGTGTCATCGTCCACCTACTATAGGAAATGCACAAAAGTTGGGAATGCACAAAAGTGGCTATTAGCTGCCAATGTATGACATAAAAATGAGGGTTGCGTACCTGTCATGCATCGTCCCTGAGGTCCGGACTTTTAGCTCAGCTACACAAAGAGGTCCTTCTGCATCTTTGGCTCTCCAGGGTCTAGATACTTTACATTAGAAAGCAAAGACCACTTGTCATATAGCATCACGCTTACAAACATAAAGGTGCCTGTATCTCCGAACTTTACAATGAAACGTGGGGTTTTTATTAGAGCAATGTGCTCGGCTTGGCCAACAGCACCTTGTGTGAAAGTTTCACGATCAAGCCTGCCAATCCCAGATTTCGCAATGTCGCTACCAGCCAAACTAGATCTGAGGGTCGACCTCTTCAGTACGATGACCAAAAAATATTTTTTGAGCTAGTTGCGACATTGAACGTGAAACTTTCACACAAGGTGCTGTTGGCCAAGCCGAGCCCATTGCTCTATTCAAAACCCACGTTTCTAGGCTAATCTATATGAAGAAGAAGAATGGCCTGTGCGTGCCTGTAGGTAGTCTTCGTTCAATGTCAATTTGTGGTGTTTATTGTCTACCGCGTCATGTGGACGCATTTTAAGAAAATCTAAAAAGGGGAGGAGCTGATCTCGAAAAGAAAAGGAACGACAAAAAGATGTCAAATCTTGCACATTGATAAATACACCTTACGGCACCATATCATCCGTGGGTGCTGCACTAGAAGG